TTTTCCTATATTTTGTATGAAACTTGTATTTTATGGAGTTTTGCATTTTTATCAATAAACATTCAGATATTTTATACCTTCTGGCTGGATTTCTTTGGAGAACAAGATAGGGACATTGCATTTTGTATATCTCTCATGCTGATGTGTATTTTTGCCAATTTCCTGGGAGTATTGCTGCACTCTGCGCAACATTTTCCCAGTAAAAATCCTGGTTTCTGAAGATGCCAGGCATGAACAGTGTATCCTAATGTGCATAATGGGCAATAGTGATCTCTATTCATGTTTGTCAAGGGCACATATTATCTGTACCCAACTCTTAGAAGCAAACCCCAACCCACCCCATGAATAGGCTAGAGAATCCAATCACATGATTCAATCTATTCACATTCAAGTCAGCACAAGGACCCATTCTTCTTCAGTTCTGGCAACCGATCTTGGTCAATCCAGTCACAGGAAAGAGAGGGTTGGTGACAACTGGCCCCAGGACAGTACAGATGCTCCCTCGCTCCTAACAGAAACGTACCTCCTCTATTTACACCTGACTCCCCATCTGGACTTGAGGTTTGATATAAAGTGTTTATGCATAGATGGAAACTTAAAATGAAATACAAATATATTTAATTCTATTAAAACAGCCAAAATCCTAGAAGCGTGTCAAATCCCACAAGATGTCAGTGTTCTCCAATGAAATCTTGCAAGGTTTCAGCTGAGAAGATGCAAGGTTTTGGCCTTCTTACACAAGAACACATAAAACGTTGAGGTTGAGATGGTTGAAATTTTTTAAGACTTTGCAACCTTGTACAATTCCAATATCTTTATAAAAAAAAAAAAAAACATTTGGCACAGATGCAACCATTGCAGTTTAGGTACCTTTGATGGTGATTCCCACATGTCAAACTGGGCCATTTGTGCTGCAGAGAACATGCAGTAGAGAACCATGTCCCACCCACTTCAGAAATGCCCACTTGTTTCACTCATCAGGCAAAGTTGGCTTTAATGCCAAGGGCTTACCTCTCCAGGCCTTGTTGTATCATGACCAAAAGCCAGGTCATTCAAAAGGTTACAAATGCAGAAAGAAATTCAGATGTGGAGGATTTCAGAAGCAGCCTCACTTAAAAGATAATTTTAACAATTATATAGTGAAAAGTGCTTGAGCAATAAGCAATGAGGCACTAGACATCCAGAATCTCATCCTTGCTTCTGTGTTTGCCCAGGTAGAGACAAGGCTCAAAGAGATCAGCCTTCACTAATGTCAAATATCTGTATGGTTTGGGGGTATCACACAAGGCTTGGTCACTTTCTACTCCATCAGAATAAACTGAATAATTCAGTAGGCAGGACGGTTTCTGTTCCCACTTGCATTAAGTAGCAAAAAGCTTTCTCTAACTTTGGATCTCGTTCACAGTTGGCAATGATGGGCTTTAAATCTCGTATGGAAGCATCAGTGCTTCCATGCATCTTCTGGCTCAGTTCACAATTCACCAAATCATCCCACCTGTACCAGGATCTCCCAGTGGGATATACGGAGATATAGTGGAAGAGAGTTGAAGAGACACCCATCAGCTTCCATCTTTAGAGTCGGGACTGCAGGTGACGATGCCCCCAAAGTTCACATGACATTCCCCATTGCAGAGGAAGCATTAGACTTGTAAGAAAGACATCAGCCATTCGGTTTTCCTTGGCAGACAAGGGAGCCGAGAAGATGGAAAAGGGGTTTTGAAATCAGACAATCAGTATTATTTCCGATTCTTTCTTGGTTTCACACCCTGAGATTACTTGGGGGTTTCAGTGCCTGAAAACAGAAGCAAAACAATATTGGAGTCAAATGACCCAGAGCAAAGCCTTATAAATTTATTCAAGCCATCAATCCTAATCGTGGAAAGCAAACCAAAGTGGAATAGGGAAGGAAGCAATAAACAGGTAAAGAAGGGCATTTCCCCCCACCCAAAATAAGCTTTGCTTTCGTTGTTTTGGGGGTTTTTTTTCCTGAAAGCTTCAGACGGATCTAGCTGGTGACCATGCGTTTGGAAAAAAAATCAGTGGGAGGAGCTGGATCCAGCAGACCCCATATATATAGATCCTTCCTGAAATGAAGTATTCAGGTCCCCAGGATGCTTCATTTCAGGACTTAACAGCCAAACAAAATGTGAAGGTGTAGTAGATCTAGTTCCACCCAATTGTCCACAGATAACTTCTTCATCCCACCAGTGCAGTTTCTCTATTCTAGATCGTTTGACCTTGAAAATGTTTGCTTAGATGCACGATTCCCTTTGTACCATTCTTGCCAATGATCCATGCATCAAAGGTCATATGCCACCATTTCCTACAATGGCACTTTTCTGCACTGAACAGTTGAGTCTCATTACGTTTTTTCAGCATGCACATATTTCACATCTGTATTCTTAAGAGCATTTCTTTTCCTTTTCTTTTTGCACAAGGTATCTAATATATGGCTTCCATGCTTTGATTTCTCATCAAGAAGCCTACTCAGCCAGTTTGCAGGTAATCCTTTGAGTTGAACAAAAAGGGGCCTTCAACATTCTCCACCAGATTTATTTAGGGAATTCTGTAAAGTACAGGGATGCAATTTTTTCTCTCTTTGTTCAGTTGGAAAGAGAGGAAAAAAGAAAGAAAACCCAGTCCTACCAAATTCACCCAAGAGCCCATTTCTTCCCACAGAAAAGAAGACGTCTTGTGACGTGAGTACAAAATATAGCCTCTCAATCTTTCTGTCCCTGTGACAGATAGTCATGACTCTTTAAGTTTAACATCTTAACAACGTTCTATGTTTCCATCATGTACCTGCCCCTTACCTGGGGTGGAGGTGGAGGAGCTGGCTTACACTTGATGTGAGAAGAAGGAGCTGAATTTATTGGTTCCATCTGTAAGAGAAGTGCCAAATTATTCCTGTTCAGTATTAACCAGCCATTTACTATATGCTGAGTATATTACTGGTAAACTGCCACTTGTAAACAGCCAAGAGTCTTTAGTTGAGTCAGCAGTTTATAGCTCTAATAATAAATAAATAAGAGCCAAAGAATTGCTCTAGAATTACTCTTGGTCACTTGCTTTAAACCAAGCGTAATGAATTCCCATTGGCTTGCACCAGGATTTGCATGGAAAGTCGAGGGACAAGTATGAAAATTGGACTGGAGAAGGCCAATTTCTTTCTGTGGGATGGGATCTGGGACTTTTAATAGATAAAATGGAGAGCTTAAACCTCTACAAGCTTAAGGTACCCATTTTGTCCCTTAGTGCTGCCCACCCACCCCCAAACATGAAACAGGGCCAAACATTTTGCTCAAACCCATTCTGAATAGAATTTGGGAGCTACAACATTCATTCTGGAAGGCCACTTGTGACCTCCAGGCTGACCTTGTGGCACTCCTGATCTGACCCTTGGCTGGCTTGTAAATAGAAACAATGGCATCAAGGAGAACATGTGTTATCATGAAAACCATGAAGCATCTCAAGAGAGGAGCCAGCTTCCGCATAAATTGATTGATTGATTGATTGATTGATTGATTGATTTGATTTCTCTCCCGCCCATCTCCCCGTGTTTTGGCACCATTCTTGGATATTTCATCATTGCCTCTGCAAGAAGTACTGTAACCCAAAAGCTTCAGAAACGTGTGTTTAAAGGAACTCAGCTGGCTACAAAGAGTGGAATACACAACTTGAAAGGCAATTCATAATGAAGTGGGACAATTTTTGTGCCAAGATTAAACCACTTCAGTTTCCATACCGGAAGTCGTCTCTTTGAAAAAAGAAATGCACGGATAAAATCTTGAAATTTTGGCCTGTTAAGTTCATACATAGGGGATGGGTATTTAATAATGGGACATGTCCAAACCTCTTCCCATTAAAACTGG